GGATACTTTTCTCACAGGCCTCGTATATATATATCAGCTGTGTTTGTCACGTGACTTGCTGATTTGTATGTTCAAAATCTTTTTAACATACCACACTCAACCCTCTGTATTACAGCGAATATAGTATCATTCTTCAAAATTACATCTGGCCATATTATTAGCTGAAGTGAATTTATCAGTTCCATGAACCACGAATCTTATCCTTGGAATTAACTAAACCTTGATAGCATAGTGTTTTGTCTCTCAATTGTGCCTATCCAAGATATTTTAGACAGTTTATTACTGCCTCACGTTGGACTGTGCTGGTCATTAGCATAAGATGTAAATTCTAATATTTCAAATATCACAGTTACATTATGTTTCTTATATCCTGTTTTGCTAAAAACTTATTATCTGTAAGACAGTTCTGTTGGTACAGTAATCTACCCTCGACAAACTGACATATCTCAAATTTTGTGCATTCCTTCTTCTTTTAAAGTGTACGGTTATGACTCGTGGTTGTTAGTCAAATTTTTCTATCATCTCGGTCCAAATTTACTGAAATACCCAATGATTATGCAAAGCATTCCTTGATTCAATTGTAATGCTTTGTTTCAACGTCTGTTTACCGAAGTAACTGTTATGTAACGAAAATAAAATAATGACGAAATCGGGTTATGCTAATAAGCGTGACTACAACCTCAATACTGTGCAAAAGTACCTTTTTAGACATAAAACCCAGGATACACTAAATATTCCAAAATGAAAGTCACTTACGTTATTTTAAAGTATAAAATATGCGATTAATCTATAAAGAAAAATATTCCATAAAATATATTTGAAACTGTGTGTTTTCTTATGGCAAAGTCGCAGCGAGCTATTTACTGAGGGGTATTAACCGCTGATTGTAGTATTGGAAATCTGAAGAGTTACCGCTGTCCCACCGGGGGACATTTGAAAGTGAAAAACGATAATAAGAATGAAAAATTCACGTAGTCTTATATAGCTTTTTTACATCACAGCAAGGTGTTTACATTTACACGAGAAGAAAAAAAGTAGATATTTTGTGTTAACATATGTAATTCAAATTAATTTTAACATGCAAAACTTTTAGATAATGTTCTTGTTAATTAATTATGTTTTACTAATTAAAAATTCCCAATCAATCATGACGAATACATCAATCTACACGCACATACTTACCATCTAGTGTAGTAATTAATTTATCTTGTTTTTGCAATTCCAAGTTATGTTGCAATAGTTTTAGCTCCGGATTCTTTAGTAAGTCCTTGTCTTTATCTAACCATTCATAACGTACCATACTGGATGGGTATGCGTCTGTGAAAATATGGAAAAACTTAAGTATGTTGAATTAATTTAGAGAGAGAGAGAAAACCCAACAACAACAGTAGCAAAATTATTATAAATACCGTTTAAGTACAACTTACATAATACAGGTTATAATAATCATTCAAAAATAAAAAATAAAATAACAGATTTGTTTAACTCTGAAATTTCCAACGTGTTTTCATACTGTTCACTTACCAGTGGAGCCCACATTTTGCATCATTTCGTGTTTCTGCTTAATAAAGCAGCCAGTGAAAAGAACTGAATATAAATCATTCATGATTTAAAATACATAGTGGACCCAGCAGTAATTAATGAGAGTAATTACATTATTGAATATATTTTTGAATACACTTTTTCTGTGCGATCCAAAAAAGTTATGAAATTTTAAGCAGTTCGGTGCCTAAAAAGTTTAGAAAAATGTGTTTAAAAACCCGAAGAGGCCCATTTGGATCTCTTGGTCACTTGGGGTTAAACACAGAGAAGATAGGCTTTGATGGTTTTTCTAGCGCAGCGTTTGGCCACGGAACACTTTTCAGCTGAGAAAAAGCTTACGGAACAATAGACAAGTGAAATATCGGTGTAGACTGTAGAGGGTAAGTTGCGTGCGCAGCGCCCTCTAGATTTCTATATTATTCATTTAATCAAATTACATATTAATAAATTTTTACATTTTTATTCTTATAATATATTTTAAATATGGCATCTTCTATAATTATTCTTCAATGCGAAATCGATATTATATAATTCTTATACATAGGAAAATATTTACATAATAAGTTATGATCGTACAAAATTGTTAAATATTTTATTAAAATTTAAAATCATGATTTTCTCACGGAGCACCTATCAATCTCAACAGAACATAGTTTGGGAAACGCTGCTCTAGCGTATGCTATCGAAGATGACAGACGATACGATCAAGTATAAAGTGTATTGAAATAGTACAATAAAACTACAAATAGTTTTACACTTTACTTTAAATCTCTCCCAATAAGGGTGCATAAATTATAGATTAAAAATTTTAGGAATGGTAGTGAAAGCATAATAATCATACATTACAGCTCAAAGATTTGGAACCAGCTAATAATCTACTTCTAACAATATCTATTTATGTGAAGGGATATTGATATTGTCATTATAAATATGGGAATTCATGTATGATTATATATTTTAATTTTACTTTAAATTTTCATTATTTCTTATTTGTTTGTTTGAATTTCACGCAAAGCTACACGAGGGCTATCTGTGCTAGCCGTCCATAATTTAGTAGTGTAAAACTAGAGAGAAGGCAGCTAGTCATCACCACCCACCGCCAACTCTTGGGCTACTCTTTTACCAACGTATAGTGGGATTGACCGTCACATTATAACGCCCCCACGGATGAAAGGGCGAGCATGTTTGGTGGGACAGGGATTCGAACCCGCGACCCTCAGATTACGAGTCGAGCGCCCTAACCACCTGGCCATGCCGGGCCATCTTTTTAATGAGGCCACTTAGCGAAAAACCACATAGAAAATAAATAGTCTCTTATAAGGATTATATAACAATATCTAATATATAGAAAAGTCAGTGCGCTATGGTAACAATGCGTTCCAACAATGGCTTTTATGTCATATTGGAACGCACTGTTAGCAACAAAAGTATAACTAATAATATTGTTAGTCTGTGTACCGAAAGCATAAAATGAAATGTATAAACTACAAAATTGGAAAAATATTTGTTGATTTCTTAATTTAGTCTCCGTCGATTAAAGAGGTTTGTTTTTTTATTCAAAACATTGGTGATATAACAGAAAATAACTTAATTTAGAAACGATTTAATTTCAAAAATCAAGCGTGACGTGACACATACTGGCTTTTATATATGTTAGATAACGTGGTGTATAGTGGCATGTATAACATAGTCACAGTGAAAATTTTTGTCAGAACTCTTAGCTTTGTTTGTATAAGAGGTTGATTTTGAAAAACAAGCCTTTAGCCAAATCCTTCTTGAAGGGTGACTACATCAATAG